GCAGCACTGAGCCTTCCACTCCCAAAGTAGACCAGAATTTGGACAGTCCCATTCAGGAAAACTCCCACAACCCATTAACTTAACCTGACTCAAAACACCAGGTTCAACTCGAGCCTGAAAGGCACCTTTAAACTCAGAAGCACATGAACACAAAGCTCCCCTGCCTTCACTTTGTAGGTGAGACAGGTTCAAGGAGGAAGAGCTTACTCCACCCCAAAAATGAAGCAGGATGCTCACTGCAGAAACTGGTCCTGTTTAGCTCTGATGCAAGGAAGATCACCCTGACCACAACCCAGCTTCAAACAAATGTCCTCCTGCTTTGCCTGCTTCAAAGAACAAGGGTGGGGAACCCCCCCAGAGCCAGAAAAGAGGGCTGTGGTGGCACCTCCTGCTGCCTGTGCAGGGAGGGAGAGGGAGCAGCGAGTGGAAAGGGACTGCCACGAGCAGAGCAGCTTTGCTGTAAGTAAAGGCTCTCCAGCTGGGGCTGCGTGGGAGGGAGCAGAGATTCTGCCAGCAAGCAGAAAGGTGCAGGGTTTGTCGTGATGTGGTTATGTGGTGTGGTTTTTTTGTTTTGTTTTTTTTTTTTTTAAACAAACAATCTAATTTCTTTCTCCTGTGGCCCCTTCCGCGGGTAGAGCTCTTGATGGTTAAGAGTTCACAGCTCCTCAGATCATACTAAAGACAGATTGGGCAGGTAGGGGTTGTACTAACAATCTTGAACATTTTAGATCAACAGCAAGGAACCCACCCAAAAGTATCCCCTCCCTATCACCAGTAAGATATGTTTGGTCATTATCAGATTTCTCACCCTAAGGCAACCCCTAATGCCCTGTCCTTGCAGCCCACGGAGCTGGAAAGTGTAAGTGGGTACATGCATGAGAAACAGCAAAATGACAGCTGAGATCCTTTTGAAGTTCTGGAAATCCAACATGATTTCCAGAGGGGGAAAGAAATAATAAGAACACCCCAAACAAATCAAATTCTTTATGCTTCTTTCCCATCCTTAGTGTGCTTGCACTCGATAAACAGGGGTAAGAGATCTCTCAGAGCACAGCATTAATATTTTTTTTGCCATCATCTGCTGCACCCAGGCAGAAATGCCTCGAGCCCTGCCCCAGCTGCACATCCCCCAGTGCAGTTAATGTGCTGAGAGGCGCTGTTTTGGCCCACTAATCTTGTTTACGCACGTTTCCGCTGCGTTTTATTTCCTGCATGCCTGGTAATCTCGTTTACCAGCCTCAAAGGTAAAAACAAAAACCAAATGGGATCCCAAGAACGAAAAAGCAAAGGCGGGAGGCTGACAGGAATGCCCTCGCTCGTCTCACACAGGCAGTAATGTGCTTTTTTCCAGCGCTGCCACGTGACCCGCTGCACCTCTGGACCCGGTGTTCCCCCGTTTTTCTGACTGGGCAGCACAAAGCAGAGGGATTTGCAGGCAGTTAATTCAGATAATTGTATTTTCCTGCTGCCTGTGCAACGGGAATGCCGGAGCTCTGGAGGCAGAGGATTCCACGTGCCTCATGTAGCGCAGAGCGTGTGCCTGCAGCTGCCCTCCCCTAGTCCCATCTGTCGGGGACTGATGTTGATTTTGCTCATCTTGCCTCCCAAAACCCCAGCAATAATAATAATAATAATGAATGAACTCAGTGCTGAGGGGAGTGCTGGCAGCCCATTCAGCTGTGGGCACGTTGCAGGCACGGGCTCTGCAAGGGTTCTGTGCTGCCAACCCACTCACAAGGGTCTGGAACTGGATCCTGTGGTGAAGTGTCCTGTAGACAGGTCTTTGCATTTCAGTCTCTCACCTTTCTTATTGTTGGGTTTTTCTGTCATGTTTCCCGCCTGCCTTGGATTTTTTTTTTTTTTTTTCCCCCTGTGATTAAAAACCCAAGCACAGGGCTAGGAGCTGCTTAGGGACAGAGTCAACTTCTAAGCAAACTCCTCTTTTCAGCTTGAAGATATTTTCATCAAAATTTATTTCTTACTGTAAACTCCAAGCTGGTATGCAGAATCAATGTGATTTGATTAGCCCAGTCTGAAATTCAGGCTTTTAAAACCATGGGCGTGTTTGCTGGTTTAGCTTTTCCATCCCAGCCCGAAGTGCAAATCCTCCTCAGAAGCTCCCAGTTCTCAAAGAATGAGCAAATCCACTTGAGCCATCTATGTGCTTTGATCCTGGCACACAACTTTGCAGGCTTTCAAATCTACCCTGCCATGGAAATACTGATCCATCTAGATGTAGAACTCTTACTGGAGCAGCCCACACAGCTAAGACTGTAATTCTTCACCTTGTTGTCATTTTTGTTGCTATCCTTTGCCTCGAACCCCTTTACCAGTTTGTTTTTTTTTTTTTTTTTTGCCTTGAACAAGAGATTCTGTACTGGAGCAACCCAAAATCTATTCATCCTGTGGCAGGTGCTTAAGAAGGAATGTTAGAATCAGAATATATCCTCCTGGCCCCAGTCAATCAATATTAGGGGACTTTCTGAAGTGAGGGCTCAGAAGAACTGAGGAAGAAAGGGAATAGAGAGAAAGGCCATTTGCCACACGTAATAAAAGCAATTTGTGAAAACAAACAAGTTTCTCCAGGAGGTAAAAACTCGCTTCCTGTCCTCTAATAATGGCAAGAAGGAGCTAGAAAGAAATTAATGAACATGCCTTTGGCAAAACAGCAGCCAGTAGTTCACCTAAATGAAAGAAGATGTCTATAAATAGAAACCCTCATTATAAGGCAGCCCCAGCTGTTTGTTTGCAGGACTGTGTCTTGTTTGTGATTGGAGATGTCTGTATGTGAGTCCTACACCTCCAACACTTAACCTGTCATTTTAGGGCACATGAGAAAATGTAACTGCAGTCAATGGTTGAGTGAGGAAGGCAAGTCTTGGTGTAGGTAAGTCAGACTGACATCATGACCACTGGCCTCTCTTACAACCCTCAGACATCTCCCTGGAGGTCCCACTGCCCTTCCCCCGTGGAAAATATCCCACGGAGAAGCAGAACTGAATTGGTTCAGACTTCACTGTATCTAAACTTTGCAATTTATATGATTCAAAATCCTGAACAGAGGCTTGGCAAGCAGTCCTTTAAATGGACAGGGACAAGAAATGTCTTCCCCTCTTCGACTGCTTTGTACTTGATGGAGTCTTCCTTGCAGCAAGGACACGGTCCTGAGTGTGATAGAAAAATTTCCCACTGACTTCACTAAACTTTTGAGACCCAAAGCAATATTACAGCAGTAAAAAGCTAGTATTGTACAATGGCCTCAAGTTTCTCCTGGCAGTGAACGTCTCCCACCAAACATGCCAAAAAAAGCTGAGTCTCCCCAAAGCAGGAGAGACACTGAGTGGTTTCATGTCCTTGCTCTGAGGGACTTTGATGTCCATGAACGCTGGGAGCACTCGGGGTTTTGAGAAGTTCAGTCTGAGATCAAAGCCTGTGTCCAGAGAACTCAAAAATCTCCTCATTAAAGCCTCGGTCCCGCATCCATCTGTGCATCTGCTCACATCAGCCAGGACTGTCCTTCAGCACAGAAATGAGCACCCCACTAGATCTGTCCAGCAAAGGACAAGCACAGAAAGCTGAGGGAGTTGTAAAGAACCACATGACAAGGATGAAGATCCTCCAGTTAAGGGCCTAAGGCTTGCATCAGTCCACAGATTCCCACAGGTCGTGATACTCTTTTCCTTAGCAGAGAGGATTTAAAGGAATAAAAAAAAATCCCTTTAAAAAAGTTGTGCTTCCTATAAACAAGTTTCATTTAAATGCAGCTAAGCTCTCAGGTTCTCAGTGGGTAGAAATCAGAAGAGCTGAACTAATGTCAAGGAAATTAGGCTAGTTTCATGCCAGCTGAGAATCTGCCTTAAAGACTTTCAGAAGGCAGAGCCAGGTCAAAGAGCATTAAGTTCAAAGAGTGGCACAGGACAGAACTGTCCTCACACAAACTTCTCAGAGCCTTCTCTGTTGTTCTGACTCCAAATGGTGGAGCAGAACAACCTCCATCCCTTAGACCTGCCGCTTTGGTGCTCCCCAGGCCCATCCTGGAGTGCATCCCTTTTGAATCACACAATGACTGAGAGCTCTGAGAGGTCACTCCAGCACTCCTGAGAGATTTGCATATTCCGTGGCAAAGGACTCCTTGCAGTCATTTGTTTATCCCTGAGCTGTGGGGACACAAAAGACACGTGCAGCCTGATGGAATGAGTTGACTCATTTCACTGAACCCTCCATTGACTCACGTAGTACCAGCTCTAAACTTAGCCATGGTGAGAGCTGCAATAAAGAACATAAACCTTTTGGGAACAGGAAAATCTACTTTTCAAGTCCAAATACCTTAAGAAGAATTATTTCAGAGCTGAGCTTACCACTCCCTGGTAATATTTCACCCATCTCAAATCCCACATCAGAAAAATTTCAGGCTGTGACAGATAGATATAGATTATATAGAGAGACAAATATAGAGAAAAACATATAGATTAACGCATTTACAATTATCAGTCATTATTATTCAAAAACTGTTGTCACTGTTACGCACATGTGATACGGTTCTGCAGAATGGGGACATTATTTTATTGAGTTATAGATGGGGAAAAGGCATAAAGAATACAGGTAATGCACATATTTGAAATAGCAATATAAACAGAAACAGAAAAATATTCAAGTCAAAGTCACATGAAAAATCAGACTAATCTTCAGATGCATTCTAGACTTGTATGTACAGCATTTTTACGCTAAAAGTAGAAATACAAACTCAAGAGATGAAGCACATCTCAAGAATACAAAATAAATAAACAAAGATGAATGCCAAGAAAAGAAAGAGGACAAACACTTGAATCTTCTTCCAGAATGATGAGAAATTCTGATATGTAAGAACCATGGTAGAAGATGCCCAATCTATGACAAGAACCCATTTATTTCCAAAACAGAATCTCAGATAATAAAGTCTTGTGCCTGGGAGTGAATGCAAAGCGTTTTAACTTCTGTCACTCCTTTTGTGGAGCTGAAACACAATGTTTCAACAATCCCAGTGAGGAAATCCCACTCACTGAGAACGTGTGCTTGGTGGGAACATCACAGTTATTCGTCCAGAAGGAAAGTTGTCGGCAACTTCTGACCCAAGGTTTCTTGAGAACAAGGACTAGATGGGTTTGGTTTCAGACTCTGCAGCAGTGTCTTCCTAATGGTCAGGATCTGCAGGAGGAAAGCAATCAACCTGTCATGCAGAAAGCTGGGGTAAATATCAAGAGAAAAGAGCATTAAGCTCCACACTGGATGCAAAATTATGGATTACAGCTAAGTGGTGGAATATATCCCTGCCCAGGGCAGGGGGGCTGGAACTGTATAACCTGTAAGGTTCCCTTCCAACCCAGGGCATTCTACAGTTCTATGATCCTATGAAAGATGCACCCTTATTTCCCTTCCTTTTCAAGAGCATTGCTATTACTTGAATAACACCAAAGACCATCAGTGGGTTTTTGGTTTTGTTTTTTTTTTTTTTCCTGCTGGAAATTTCTCCTTTATCAATTTGTTTGCATAACCAAATATCCTAGAGAAAAAAATAGCATTGTTTCCACTCCTACAGCCCTTGCAAATTAGATTTTTATGGTAGATTTTTTTTTTTTCCTCTCCAGGAAAAAATAGGTCAGTTCCCCTGCAGTAACACACACACAACCCGAGGCCCACGTCTGTGCTTGGAATGAGCACGTGGAAATGCAACTGCCCCTTCCAGCTGGGCATCTGCACAGGGCACCCACCACCTCAACTGGCCAAATGGCTCCTTGCAAGGCACAGATTTCCCCCCCGACTTCAGAGCTGAAGTGAGGCCTAAATACTTAAGCCTTTTTTTTTTTTTTTTTCCTACGTCCAATCTCCCTCTCTGAAAATATGGACCATAAATATCCTCTCCCAGGAGATTAGTCCTGGAACCTTACTGGGCTTAAAGTTACGTTCAAACAATGTCCTAATAAAAACAGTGGCTATTGAATAGTAAATAAAGCGTGTTCCAAGGACAGCAGATCATGATTACAATGACTTCCATTTTTGTAGAACTTCAAAACTAAGTGCTCCCTTCTTTACGTATTGGAAAATAAAAAGGCTTGGTATACAGGAATAAGTTAAATAGATGGAAATATAAATGTAAAAAATAACAGAAGATTGCTTAAGAACAGCAGTTAAAAACAGAAAAGTTATTCCCAGGCAGCCTCCGTAAGACAAAATAGAAAAGAAAGAAGGAGGAAAAAAAAGGGATTTTTCAAAGTACCTTCAACTTAGTGGGATCAAAGAAATTGGTTTCAACAGGGTCTGAAGGGGGACAAGGAGTATTCTGAGCCCAACTGCACACTCAAACACCTGCCTTAGATCAAGTCACCTTAAACCGATCATCATGACTGAACAGAGTCTTTTTTTTCAGAACAAGTTGTGAAAATGTTTCACTTCCTAAGGCAGCTCTGAAAGGGAGACAGAGCCCTACAAATACTGGGCATTCACATTCTGAGTCCTGCAGAGTGGGAACCACACAGCCACCTCGCTTCTGGCCCCAGCTCGCCCTGTCATTTTGTTTGCATGTGCCCCGGCTTTGCAAAGTTTTCCATGGTCTTGACAAAGCCTGAAGGTGACTTAATGAAAAAAAAAAAAAGAGAAAAAAGAAAAAAAAAGATTTTGAACTGAATCTGTGTGAAATAAAATAAACATTTCTCCCCACTCTGAAATTAAAAAGAAGGCACAGTCTCCATCAAAAGAGCCCCCTGTGTGTTAATCTGCAGTGATGCTCAGTGCCAGAGCTGGCACCCTTTGAAGTTAAGGGAAAAGCTCCTGCCGTCTTTATGATGCCCAGATTCCTGACTGAGTTGAAAAATAACAAAGTAATAGGCTTTCTAAGCTCCCAGTAGCTCTCTGAAGATCACTGCCTCGCTCCAGTGATCACAGGAGGTGCCAAGGGGACTGGGTTATGCACCTCACACTGGCTGAGCTGACAACCAGAGCTCCCTGGAAGGGCTCCTGATTCTGTTGTGAGTGATCTCAGAATGAACCTCAGTGGCAGATTTGAGTAGAAGAACAGAGATCCACATCTCAAAATAAAATACTTGGCTTTTCTTTTGATGTCACCAATTCCACTTTTCCTACTTTTTTTTTTTCCCCTACTGATCCATGTTAGCTAGAATCAAAATTGAATTTTATGGCAGTTTTCCATGGTATTTTAATACATTTCTTCTTTCTTTTCTCCTCCTGAAGGAAGAGGGAGAGGAAAAAAAATTTTGGAAAAAGAAAGAGACTTTATTGGAGATATAAATTAAATTATGAATCAATAATTTTTTTCACTTGATGTTAAATTAACAGAATTTGATGTTTTCATAGAAAATATCAAAAACATGAATGTAGCATTTCGATACTCTTCAATCACATATTTTCTACTGCAGGAACTTCTTGATTAAGAATTTTCAGCCAACTTAAAGGCACAAGCATTAGAAGCCCCTGCAATCTGGCATCCTGAGCCGTAATCTTTCGGAGTAGCAGAGAGAGATCTGTTTTGAGCAGCAGAGCATCCACGGTCTAACACAGGAGTGTGTGTAATACAAGCTAGGATAACACAGGGTAAGAGATTAATATTCTGCATCATACTGCGCTCTGTTATTTTTATCCTGCTGTTTCTTTCACTCACCATCCCATGACTCACACCCTCCCCACGCTGGAATCTCTGTCTCAGTCCCGTGGCTCACTGGTGTGCTACGGAGGACGATGCCGTGGAAAAGCCATCTGGAGAACACCGCTACTGCCAGGGCTCCAGGTCGCCCTGAAAAACAGACAGACACAACAGGGTTTACTGATTTCCCACAGAACTCCTCTGAATCCTGCAGTGTCTTTAGCAAACTGCCTTCAGCAGCTGTGAGGGTGCAGTTCTCCCTGTTCCTGCAGCCTCGGTGATGATGCTGGAGACATGTCCCAGCCACCGTGGCACGGAGAGCTTTCACTGCACAAGCCTTTAGAAAAAAATTACAGGACTCATCCTGTGAGGTGGTGAAGGGCTCTTGTGAGGCAGGGAAAGGTAACTCAACATCTGTAAAGGAGCTGGTCCTTGCACATTTCTCAGTTATCACCTCAGGGATACGGTCCCTGATGCCCCACCAGACAGACCTTCAGTGAGCGCTTCCTGAGGCCAAGCCACGGTTCCTTGATGTGTGCTGGGGAGGCCAGGTCACAGGAAGAATTAGATGTTCAAATCCTTACTAATTGCACATATAGCTACTGCCATCCAAAATGTAGAACATCTAAATCCCAGTTCAGTCTGCTGATGCAGAATCCTGCAGTCGTGCTTCCTAATGGACTCAGTTTCCCCAGTGCCTTAACTCTGGCCCCTGCTTAAATCCACAGATAACATCACTAGTTATGGACCTAAATTCTACCACATCCAAGAAATCAGGGTGATCAGATGAAGCCCCTGCTCAAGAATTGCAATTCCCTCCTTTATTTGTATCTGAGCTTTCATCTCCACCTTCCTGAGGGCTATTTCTAACCAGTCACAAGCCAAGATCACAGAAGGTTCACTCTTTATATAAACAAGCAAATATTCCCTGGGCTAGAGGGGGGAGTACTTCAAATCAGCATTTGGACACCATATTATCCTTCAAAAGAAATATTCCTACCAGAAAATAACTGGTCAATCTCAGGCTAGACAGTCACGTTCTCTCCCTTTTTTGCCCTGACACTTTGAAAAATGAGTCAGAAAAGCCTCGTCCACAGAATATCTGCACCTTGCCAAAAAAAAAAGGCATTTATGTGGGAAAAAGGGGATTAAAATCCTAATTCAGCTACGAGAATTCCACTCAGTAGCAGGATTCCTCTCATGCAGGTAGTGAAGCAATGAGCTCTCCAAAGGCCTCAGTGTGCATCCAGCCAAAGCAACCTGCCTTTTTGCTGGGATAGCAGATGGGAGTCAGCTCGGTGTTGGAGCAAGTTTAGCAGGAGGATCAGTCGTGCTCCACTGTGCCATTCCAGCTTTCACAAGAAAACGTACCAAAGGATGCCAACCAGCCCTCTACCACAAGCTTTTAGATCCACTGGCCTCCCACTTTCCTGCTCTGCCAAACCTGGCTCTACAGGTGACACTGGAAAACACAAAGCCTGTTAATTAATTCCCATGAATGTTTTGTTCTTCTGATTTGCCTTGGGGCAGACTTCCTACCCTGTCACCTCAACTCAAGTCCTTCAGCATGGATTTCTGATGGTGACTCAGGGCATTCCACGAGTATTTGTTGGTGGAAAAGCCGAATCCAGCAGGGACACTGTCTCTCTGACACCAGCTCAAGTCACCCGTCACATCCTCTGCCCTCTCCTCCTGTCCCTTCCCAGCATAACTGGCTGCCTGCAGGGGGGCAGATGTGCATGGCAGGCAAGGAAGGCTCAAGGCTTGCACATCCCTGCCACATTCAAATGTCAGGTCTTCCCCGAATCCAAAGGGCAGAAGCCTCCCTCAGCCCACCCTCGATCCAGAAATGTGACCTCAGCACAGCAGCCCTGTCCTTCCTCTCGGACAATCCCCCCAGCTGGAGGATGATCAATGCAAGGGCCCGAGGAGAGCCCTGGCAGGATGTGATTAGTGACCTGAAACGAAGCCTCTGCAAACTAAAGGAGAAGCTTCCACTAAAATCTCTTCCACTGGAGTCAGCACCTCAGGACAAACAAATGCTGCTGCAGTTTGAAAGACGATTACCGAGAAAAAAAAAATTGGGGGAAAAAAAAAAGCTATAGGGAATTGGAGCAGCCAGAGAAAATCTTGTTAATGCAGCAGTGTCCTGCTGTGAGCTTTCTGTTCAACAGACAGGCTCCTTGGTACTACTGAGTTAAACAAATTTTTGCTGTCTAACCATCAGCAGTCCCTTGGAGTGATGTTTGTCCTGAGCTGCAGCCTCTTGTTCCCAACCTGTCTTGGTCTGCAGCTGTTCTAAGTGGCCTGTAAAAACTGAGTGGAACTCTTAGAATATTTTACTTTTCAGCTCTGTCTTATCACCTGAGAGGCATAAAAAGTCAGGAAAAGACATACAGTGTCTCCGAGGAAGGTGCCAAGAGGATGGTGCCCTCTTTTCAGTGATGCCCAGGGACAGGATGAGGAGCAGTGGCCATGAACTAATACACAAGAATTTCCACCTCAACATAAGGAAGAACTTCTCACTGAAGGTGGCAGAGCACTGGAACAGCTGTCCAGGGAGGGAATGGGGTCTCTCTCTCTCTCTCTGGAGACATTCCAAACCCACCTGGGCATGTTCCTGTGTCACCTGCTCCAGGTGACCCTGCCTTGGCAGGGAGATTGGACTCGATCATCTCCAGAGGTCCTTTCCAACCCTAAAAATTGAGTGATCCTGTGAAAGCAGTTGCTCAGAAGAGTCAGGAAACCACTTGTAAAGAGCAGCTTTCCATTCACAGGAGGTTGGTCCCTTAAGCTCTGCAACTGCTGGTGTGTGTCAATCCCATCATTTTAAACAAGATTTTTAATATGGATTCTAAAAAAAAAAAAAAAAAAAGAAAAAAAAAATTTAGTATAATTTTCTATTAGTGATTCAGAAGAAGAGGTTGGGACCAAGAAGGTAAACTGAATAATATATAATCACCACAATTTACAGGGAGCATTGATCAAATCATGTAACATCTCCACACTGCATTGCTTGGAACTGCATCTTCAAGGCAAATGAGTGTCTACCATTGGATATAAATACCATCTGGCACCGAAAACAACGGAGAAGGATAGCAGTTCCTCGCTCAGTGCATCTCTGGAAAGCATTTAAAATTACTGATGCAAGATTAAAGACTTAAAAATAAAACTGCATCATTCAAGAGTAAGAATTTTGCCTCAAACATGAAGTGTCACCAGCTTTAAGACTGGTACTATATTTGGAGCAAGAATTAACAGGAAAGGAATCTGCAAAACCCAAACAATCACTACTTAAAATTTCTCTGTGTCAGATATTTCTCCATCTTACAAATAATTTCTGTCCTAAGATGAAAAGTTCACAGTTTGCTTTTTCAAGACACAAGTTTTGTACTTTCTAGTATTAACTGATTTATGCAACTTTTATACTTCTTCTGTCCATGAATTAATTAGTTGCCAGTCTTACTGTGTTTTAAGTAAGATCAGCACCAGATGGAGACCAGACTTGCTTGTTAAGGGGTTTTATCAAAAAAGTAATTCAGCAAATATATGTCTGAAATCCAACATCAATACTTAAAAGTCTGACAAACTTTCCTAAGAAACTACCTAATGCTGTGGTACCTGGGTTCAGTTTTAAGTTTTTGACAGAGATGAGTATCCTCCCCTTGAACTGTGCTGGCTAAAATGTCTAAACTGAGCACTGAGCTCAGTTCTGACCCCCGTGAAGTCAGGGACACAACGCCAAGTGTCTTCCACTGCCTCGGGACTCTGACTATTGTTTTTAAGACCAGCACTTGGCAACTACCTAAACTGCACCCTTTGACTGCCAGGGGCTGGATTAGCTCTTTCATCTCCCTGCATGCAGGCTAGTCAGATCAGCCCTGACACTTTCAGCACGATGAGAGCAATCACGAGGCATCTTCTTCCCTCCGTTCCTGCCCTACACAGGCTCTGTGAGCACAGACTTTTCCCCTGTGAACGGGGAGTGTCGACCAGGAGCACCTTCACATCAGAAAAATACAGGTTTTACTGAAACAATACCAACTCCCTTAATACAACGTGGTGTCAGGTCAGGGTTTGCCTGTCAGCAAAGGCAAAATTGAGGCTGGCAAGTCAGTGTTGAGTCTGACAGTGTGTGACTTCCACAGGTGCTGTTAGAGCCTGTGGGAGGTGTTGCTCTGACTCATGGAGGCTGTCAGAACTAACAGGACAGCTTGGTAAAACAGTCTTGCTAAAAACTCTGGTGGTTGTACAGGGAACCAGGCCATTCACATATTGAAAGGGAGCAAAAGATGTTTCAGTCGAGTCTCACCACCAAGGTGCACGGTTTTACTTTCACTGCAACAGCTGAACATCTCAGAAACAAGATCACTGCACTCAGAATGAGTAATGGGCACAGTCAGTGCCCAGTGGAGTCCTAAAGGAAAGGACCTGAAAGATCATCTCGTTCCAACCCCCTGCCATGGGCAGGGACACCTTCCACCAGCCCAGCTTGCTCAGAGCCCCATCCAACCTGGCCTGGGACACTGCCAGGGATGGGGCAGCCACAGCTTCTCTGGGCAACCTGTGCCAGGGCCTGCCCATCCAAAAACACAGAGCAAACTAGCCAGTAAAACTTGCAGCTGCTTAATTTGTGAGAAAAAAATCCTCACGTGTTACAGCGACCTAAATGTCTGTCTGTGTTTTGAAAAAGGGCTTGAGCACCTGTGGGTATTTATAGATACGCTGTTTAGGAAGCAGCTATCCCAAATTTAAATCTGAATCAGCCTGACACTTAGCACAGTGAATATTCAAGAAGACCTGGCTGCCACCACTTCGGGTCAGTGCTCTGATTCTCCCTGTGAAAAATCACCAGTGTAGTCTCATTACCTGCAAAGTGAAGGCTTTGTGTCCCCTGTGCCAGGTGCAGTCAAAGCTACAAAGGTGACAGGGTGAATGGGGAGAAGAGAGTGAAGCTGAAAATGTCACGTCATCTTTAATCAGTGCATCAGCCCGTTCTGGGAACCAGCTTCAGGTCCTCAAGCTCAAAACAGAGAAGTCTTACAGGAGATGTGGGAAGGATCCAGGGCCTTGATAAACTGTCATACTGAAAGTTGTTGGAAAGACTGGATTATTTGCTTTACAAGGGATACAAATAAGAAGAATCTAGT